GCAGGTTAAGATCCTCTCTGGTAAGCCAGCTCATGGGCTACACAGAATATTAGAAATGGGTTAGAACAATATGTAAGAGCTAGCCAATAAGAAACTGGACCTAGCCGGGCCAGGCAGTGTTTGAAAGAATACAGTTTCCGTGTAATTATTTCTGGGTATAAACTAGCCATGCGGGCGGCCGGGTGCTGGGGACGCAGCGCTGCCGCTCCTAAATTCAACAAATCATGGCGACTCCTGACTAAGCTTCTTTCTCCCAGCATTCTCTTCTGTTTACTCCACCCACCTATGGGTTGGCCTATCAAGGGGCCTAGGCAGTTTCTTTATTAATAAGAAATCACTCCTACATCACTTGGCTAGTCAGATTGCTTTTGGGTCTCATCCCATCTGCCGTTCAATCAGAGAATCCTAGTTTTTTAAGTTTTCCCCCAAATAAATAACCGTGTATCTCTCAATTCTGAGCCGGTGTGAGATTTCTTTTAAGTGCCCAATTTCTCTGCCCATCATGGAGTTATGGGTAACAGAACTTTCGGAGACTGAGAAGTCTGAGGTCATGATACCAAGCAGATCTGGTACCAGGGAGAGCTGTGCTCTGCCTGTAGAACAGAGCCTCACTCAGTTTCCAAGGCAGTTCCCTCCAACCTCTTCTATAAAGACACTAACTCCATTCCAATTTATTCACTTCCCATAGGTCCAGCCGTACAGCACCACCACAGTGGCAACTGGGTTTCAACACAGATTTTGGAGATACAAGTATTCAGACCCATTGCAGAACAGAAAGAACTTTCTGGAGTGGTGCAAATTAGAGTATTTGTTGCACAGGCAAATACATTGATCATGCTTGGTGACGACCTAAACACTCAAAATCAGTGCATTTCATCAGATCCACATTACAGCACAAAAATCAGCAGTTAAAAGTTTTGGTCTTTACAGAAGGTAGCAATGAGCTTTGGGGACAATTGCTGCTGCTTATTTATCCTGGCTCCTTTCACCTGGACCCTGCTTCAAAATCAAAGAGAGGAGCAAAGAGTGAAGCAGTCACACGGGAGTCTGTGAAATCCTGGTGGTTCCTGTGTGTCTGCCTGGCTGTAGCTGTTTGAAGAAGGGGAAAAGCTAAAGGTCGATTCCACAGGGTCCTCTTGAAGATTCGTCTTCTCGTTCAAGCCATCCAGCAACACCACCCAGTCTCACAAGGATTCCCTGTCAAAGGCTTCGGGCGACATCGAGACATAAGCACCATTTACAGGATTAAAAATTGACGTTTCTAAGGCCTACTGCTCTACAGATTTGTGGATCCTATATGTGGATTGGGGGAAAGCAACCTGCCATCTCAGTCACCAAAAATAAAACTGAAACGAGTAACTAAAGTAAGTCTTTATGTACACATACATCTTTAGTGTTAAAAAGTTTACACTTATGGTTTATATGGGTGTATGAGCATGTATGTACTTGTAAAACATATGTGTTTTACAAAACATCACCTCTTCAGTGATGTCCTGGTGACTTTCAAATACTGAATTCACAGAATATTTCAAATTCAGAAAACAGGCAGTGCACAGCATTTACTGCCTGTGGAACAGCCAGTTTCTTTGATTACTGTCTTATTACCGGAATGTACTAATAGAAATTACCAAGTTTTTTTTTTTTTATCAGAAAACTCCTCTTAGATTAGATCCATCCATAGGTAATGAGAAATCACTTGGCAAATCTCATTGAGCCCATTTTTTTTCTTCTGCCAAACTTGTTTAAAATTCTTCTTCTCAGTTTTGATTTAGTAACTTTAGATCTGTGCATTATGTTGTGTTTTGCAGGGAGTTATTGACTCCAGCTAAGGAACCGTGAACAGTAATTACTTCGCACCGGTAAGCTCTGGTATAGCATTGTCAGACAGGCACTTTACACACCGCAAGTTTCAAAATTTAGAACAGAGCTGTCAAGCAGGCAAATGCTCACACCAAAGACTTCTATTTCCAAGCTAGAGGCATGAGCTCTGTGATGTGCAATAAGAGAGGGAGTCTGTGTGTGCTCGGGAAGCTCCTCATTTGACAGCCCTGAAAATGAAAGTCTGTTTCTTTCTAGAAAAAGAAACATCATAGCAACAGGACAGATTTGCAAGAATAACTGAGAAATGGCCTCTGTGCTAGGAAGGGGTGGGTGACAGGTACTGAGATTATTAAATATTATTAGGAATTTCTGTAGTGAGTAGAGAATAATTCACCCCAAACTGAGACCTCCTGGTTTGACTCATGTCATTCAAAACCTTTCCAATCAACTAAGAAAGATTTTTATGGAGCTATATGTTTATATTCAATTAAAAATTTTCTCATGTATCAAATACTCATGTTTACCAGTGTGTCACAGACCTAAGACTACAACACCAAATTACAAACATTGATAGAAAGGGACAATATATTTTATGTAAATTAAATGTCATTTTTATTTTAAGCAATGACAAAGATAGCTCACTCAAGAATATGGGTTTAAATAATTTTTATACCCCAAGTGCCTTTCAAATTCTAAAACACATCCATTTTCTCCCCCAAGTTTTTTCTTATGATATTTTGAGCCTCAAAATTACACTTGAAGACAAGCCTCGTCCTCTACTTAAAGACTATAAAATTGAAGAACAGACTTTAAATAACTTCAAAGTGTCATGTAGCTGTTAAGAAAAAGAAACAGAATAGGTGTTCGCATGCTTTCCTAATGACTTCACCTGGTCCCTGGCCTTTACCAAGACTGCCCTTTCATACCCAGACCTTTCTTGAACATCACTCAAGAAAATGGGTCATCACTTAGCACCCCTTCAATACACCAGTTGCCACCGAACAGGAGTCACCCCACTGTCTCCAGTCCAAACTCAACACCAACTCTCTCAAAGACTACACTGAAAGAACTTTCATACTTCTCCTACCTGGCCTCAAATCAATCACGTTTGCACAGCAAAAGAAAAATGAGACTCACACTCAAAATATGTGTGATAGAAACTCTCTTATTAGATGCACAACCAATGAAATTATGCCACTTGCCCAGTTCCCATCACAAAAACACAAATAATAGAAAAGACCAAGGCAATCAACAACCCCCAAAAGGCCACTAGCCCCATAGAAATGTTCCACAATGAGAACTACCTAGGAGACCCTCAGAACACAGAATTTAAAAGAACAATTTTTAAAATGATTAAGAACTTGTGTAATTTAAAGAGGTCACAAAAACATGAATGAACTTAAAGGGAACAGGAATAAACCCCAGATTGAAATCCAAGAAAACACAAACAAATCACTCAATGAAACAGGAATGAAATTCAGGATTGGAAAGGTGAATTCAATAAGATACAAATAAGGAAGAACACACAAGCTAAAATAAAAAAAATGGAATTGATAAAATTGATAACTATATTGGAAACACAGTCAAATCTGGATCACACAGAAGACAACTGAGACCCAACGACAAAATAGAGGAATTGAACCAATCAATGAGACCCAAAGACAAAATAGAGGAATTGAACCAATCAATCATAGAAATGCAGAAGAAGAGAGAGCACGAGCAAGGAACTCAGGATCCCGAGGGGTGGACCCACACACTGAGACAATGGGGATGTTCTATCGGGAACTCACCAAGGCCAGCTGGACTGGGTCTGAAAAAGCATGGGATAAAACCAGACTCGCTGAACATGGCGAACAAGGAGGACTGCTGAGAAGTCAAGAACAATGGCACTAAGTCTTGATCCTACTGCATGTACTGGCTTTGTGGGAGCCTAGGATGTTTGGATCTTCACCTTACTAGACCTGGAAGGAGGTGGGAGGTCCTTGGACTCCCCACAGGGCAGGGAACCCTGACTGCTCTTTGGGCTGGTGAGAGAAGGGGAGTAGATTGGGGGAGGGAGGAAAATGGGAGATGGTGGCAGGGAGGAGACAGAAATCTTTAATAAATAAATAAATAATAGTAAAAATAAATAAATTACATGAAAAGAATATGAAAGAACTTGAGAGAGAGACCAAATGTATAAATTATAGACACTGACAAGAAATTATAATTCCAGATCAATGGCATAGATGTGACCAATACAGATGTTGTAGTGATAGGCATGGCAGGCTACATTCCTGGCACCTGGCCACCCGCACGGCTAGCTTTACCCAAAATAATTACACAGAAACTGTATTCTTTTGAACACTGCCTGGCCAAATAGTTCCAGCTTCTTATTGGGTAGCTCTTACATATTGATCTAACCCATTTCTAATATTCTGTGTAGCACCACGAGCTGGCTTACCGGGAAAGATCTTAACCTGCGTCTGTCTGGAGTGGGAGAATCATAGTGACTGCCTGACTCGGCTTCTTTCTCCAAGCATTCTGTTCTGTCTACTCTGCCAACCTAATTTTCTGTCCTATCAGGCCAAGCAGTTTTCTTTATTAGTTAACCAATGAAAGCAACAGATAGATAAAGACCCACCTCCATCAAGATGTGACGCATAAAACACTAAATAGATAGGTCTGGAGAAGCACCCTACATCATCCTATAGCTAGAATATTAGATAAATAGAACAAACAAACAAATGGAAGTGTAAGAGAAAACCCACAAGTCACAAGTAAAGGCCAATCCATCAGAATAACTGATTTGGTGATGGAAACTTTTAAAGTCAGGAGAACTTTGAACTTCAAGCTCTAAAAGACTATAAGTGCAAACTTAGACTATTGACCCAGCAAAACTAATCTGCTGTGGTTGAAGGAGAAAGAAAAACTTACCATGATATAAACAGGCTAAAGAAGCAATGTCTACCAAACCAACACTACAGAAAATACTAGAATCAGTACTTGAACTGTAGAGAGGAGTAAGTACAGTCAAGAAACCAGAGTAAACAAATGAAGATATAATTACTAATATACAGAATGAGACTACAAAATACAACAAAATGACAGCAATCAGTATACACCTTTCAGTAATGACTTTGAATATTAGTGCCATCAAGTGTCCAATCAAAATATGCCATGTAATCAATTAGGTTAAGAAGCAATTTTAAGCTCTTTTCTGTCTACAAACGCACCTCACTTTCAAGAACAAGCAGCACTTTAAATTTTCTTTAAGGATGGAAAAAAATTCCAAGCAAATATGACCAGAAAACACAGGCATCACTATCTTAATACCTGATGAAATAAATTTTAAACCAAAATTAAACAGAAAAGATAAAGGAAGACAAATCATTATGATCAATAGAACAATGAACCAAGACAATATTATAATCCTAAGCATATTAGTATTAAATTCTGGCAAACCCAATTTTATTTTTTAAAAATAGTACTACTAGACTTCAAGGTACAGATCAATCTCAACCAAGTTCTAGTGCATGATCTTAAAACCACACTTCCTCCAATAGATAGGTTATCAGCCTAAAAGATAAGCAGAGAGACAGGGTTATTAAAGGGCATCAAATAAGCCTAATATATATCTGTAGAACATTGCACTCAAATCCCACAGAATGCATGCTCTATTAAACATCCTTTGGAAGTCTCTCTAAAATGGATCATGTATTGGATATAAAGCAAATCGCAAAAAATGGAAAAATTGAAATAACTCCATTTATCTTATCAGACTATAATGTAAAATATAACAAAAAATAAAAGAATCTACAGAAGTTAAGCAAACTTATGAAGATTAACAACACGCTACTGAGTGTTGAATGGATCAGAGAAGAAATAAAGAAGAAAATAAAAAATTCCCGTGAATAAACAAAAATGGAAACACAGCAAACACAAACCTCTGGGATACACTAAGGTCAGTTTAACAGGAAAATTTAAATCAAGCAATGCCTATGTTTAAAAATCAGAAAGAATGCAAATAAATAACTTAATGATGCATTTCAAGCCAAACCCTCCAAAACAATGTATATATATGTGTGTGTGTGTGTGTGTGTGTGTGTGTGTGTGTGTGTGTGTAATCTAAGAGTTGGTTCTTTGAAAAGATAAGCAAGATTAAGAGATCTTTAGCTGAATTAATCAAACGAAAGAGGACACCAAAACTAATGAAATTAGAAATAAATGAGAAAATCTTATATACTAAAGAAAGACAGAAAAATCACAAGGGAATATTTAAAAAACCCATACCACATTAAGTTTGAAAACCTAAAAGAAATTAATGAATGTCTAGATATATCCAGACCACCAAAATTAAATCAATAAGAAATCAATAACTTAAGTAGACTAACAGAGATTGAAACAACAACAAAAAAGTCCCAACGAAAGGAGAACAATGAGAAAAGAGGTTGAAGTGGGGAAAGAGATGAGAGTGTAGGGTCTTGGGCTAGAATTATCTCAGGGCCTGTACCTCAAGGCCTGTAGGACAGAGAAAAGCCTGGCTTGAGTTTGAAGAAAAGTCTTAAGGCTACTGAGCGGGGATGAGACATCAAAATCTAGGTAGACACCCCTCCAGCCAGAGAGAGGGCTTGGCTGTCTCTCATTGGCTGGAGATATCCCCACCTCGCATGATGTCAATTAACTTATATAAGCTGATGCTCACAATAATAAACTGAGTTCCTGCTTTGACTTGACTCCCTATTGCATATTATTGTCCTGCATTGTGGGGCTGTGGAACAGGAGGATAGCACACTCACCTTTCCATGAGGAATAAGGCTAATGAGGTTGGGGTGACTGGTCCCAGGGCAAAGTAGTCAATCAAGGTGAGTGGGACCCCATGATGGGTAACACAACTTCACACAAAAATGACCCAGCACAGGCTGGCCTCGAACTCGTGATCCTCCTGCCTCTGCCTCCTTCAGCAAATCCTACCGGCATGCGCCACCACTACCGGCCTCAATAAAATAAAAAAAATGAAAAAAAAATGACCCAGCACTTAAGGCACTGAGGTATAAGCTACTCCCAGAGGCCTGGACTTGTCAGACCACAATGCAAAGCAGATATGGGAGGATATAATTACCCTGGCCCCCTGGTACCCACTGGAAATCTTTTCTCATAAGACATGTGGAACCAGGTGTGATGTGGGAGTCTTCTGTTTTGTGTTGATTTCATTGGTTAAATAAAGATACTGCCTTGGCCCTTTAATAGGACATAAAATTAGGTAGGCAGAGTAAACAGAACAGAATGCTGGGAGAAAGAAGCCGAGTCAGTGAGTCGCCATGGTTCTCCCACTCCAGACAGAAGCAGGTTAAGATCTTTCCTGGTAAGCGCACCTCGTGGTGCTACATAGATTATTAGAAATGGGTTAAGAGGCTGAAACTAATGGGCCAGGCAGTGTTTAAAAGAATACAGTTTCTGTGTAATTATTTCGGGGCATAAGCCAGCCGTGCGGGCGGCTGGGTGCCAGGAATGCAGCCCCGCCACTTCTATTTCAACACAGGTGGAGACTCTGGCCAGAGAAAAGGAAAAACAATTTGATAGACCTACACCATTGGGATTCTATTGAACTATTATAGCCTTTAAGGCATGTTTTTACCCCCACTGCTCTGCCTCCCCTCCAAGGCAGGTAAGGAAAAGGTTAGAGACAGGGAGAGGTCTAAAGAATCCAAAAATAACCAATTAACCAAAAGAATGGGAGAAAAGAAGACAGACAAGGGGGAAGATCAAAAATGGCTGCAATTTACTGAAGAGTGGTCTCAGGAAGAAGGAATAAGGCAGGCAGAAGCAAAGACAAAAAGGAAAGTAGATAATATCTGTGACAAGAAGTGGCCACCTCCTTATGCCCTCAGCCACCCTGGAAATGATAAAATGGAAAAGGGGAAAGGGACAATTAAGAAGGCTCCATGCTTGCCAGGAGAAAATGAAAATGCTCTTGGGTGGGTCCAGATGGAGACAAAGGAAAGTTCAGGCCTCTGATCCTCCCAGGTTTGTTTGCAAACCTCCTGGGACAAGATTTCTTAGGACAAATGGATGCCATTATTACCATTGACCACCTAGCATTTTATATGACAAAAGTGAGCAAAGTGTCATAAAGGCAGACCACTGACACCTGGATTCACACCCAAAAGTAGAGGCCAATGCTCCCAGGGTAAGTCAATATGGGTGGATCAGTGGTCATTACCTGAACTTAAACTTAAGATGATCAAAGAAACGACCAGAAATCTGCTTAAAAGAAGGAAAGATAAGGCCCTTGATGGGCCCCTGGAACAGCCCTGTGTTTGGGATACAAAAACCTAATGGGACCTGGAAAATATTACAGGATCTAGGAGCAAACAATGCCCGTACAGATCTAGTAGGGACCCCTTTAAAAGGGCTTACCTTAGGTCTTAGAAATCTGCTCCCAGTTTTACCTAACTGTAATGGAGCTAAATGACTGCTTCTCAATTAGTCTTCATGAGGAGGATTGTGAAAAGTTCACCTTTTCTATTCCTACAGTTAACTCCTCTCAACCTGACAAGAGATAGAAATGGGCTATTCTCCCACAGATGGCCAATAGTCTGGCCTTTTGCCAAGCATATTTTTATAGTATTCTCTCTGCTTATTTTGACAAAGATAATACCCTTCTACATGTTTATATGGATGTTGTAATTATTGGGCATTTGGAGGAATCAGGGCTAGCTCCCTGGGTAAACCATATTGTTGATATCCTCCAACAATATGGTTTTAAAATAGCCCCAAACAAAATACAAAAGGTACCCTCACTTCAAATATTGGGATCCCAATTAACACTCACTGGAGCCAAAGTAAATGGACCCTAATCAGTCCTGCCTGAGCCTCTCACTTTATGGAGGTTACAAAAGATACTGGCTGTCTGTAGAGACTTGGAGACTAGATGTGATATATGATTTCCTAAAAGGAAGACAACCTTATGAGATCATTTCCTTGCCCCCTGAGGGTCATCAGGCACTCACTGAATTCATCAACGAGCTCCATCTGGCTTCTTTGGAGAGACATAATCCTACCATTCCAATCCAAGGCTGGATATTATTAGGGAGGAAGGCCATGCTGGCTGCCATTGTTCAGCAGTCACAACCACTAGAATGAATGGGGCCGCCTTTGTAGTTTTCCCTGCAGTGGGGACCAAGACAAAGATTACCAAAATTCGCCCTTGTGGGGGATCCACTTAATATAAGTAAATGGTGGCTGTATTAATTGCCCTACAGGAGGTCGCAGAACCCTGCAACCTCTATTCAGACAGCTCTCATGTGGTAAACCTACTGCCACACTTACCCTTTGTCTATATCACATTGGATGCTAATCCTATGTCTGCCTTGATGATACGACTCAGAGGAAAAAAAAAAACATATATATTCAACATCTCAGAGGACACCAAAACCTCACTGGCCTCATTTCCCAAGGGAATGCTGCTGCAGATGCTGCAGCTTCAGGGGCCTGTCTCAGAGAGGTCTCCCCACCCTGTAAAGCAGCAAGAAGAATGACACTTATCTAATGAGGTTATTGTGATGATTAGTTTATTAACTAAAAACATGGGTAGCACATACAAATCCTTCTATTTTTTTGACTTGATAATAATTATTATTATGCAATCATATCTTTTGACCACAACTTCTCTTCCTCATTTGCTAACTTCTTATTTTCTCTAAATTACTTTGCTCAGGGTGTTCAAGGAAATTTTTTTGGCCTCAGTTTTCCAAGCTTATCTGGCTTTTTTGCCCCGCCCAACTTCTCTCATCTCCCTTCCCTTCCTTCTCTTCCTGTTCTTGTTTTCTTTATTTCTCTGTTTCTCTCTCTCTTTGTCACTCTCCCTCTCCCTCTCCCCCACCCCGTGTGTGTGTGTGTGTGTTTGTGTGTGTGTTTGTGTGTGTGTGTGTGTTCAGAGGATAGAATCTAGGGCCTAGCATATGCTAGACAGGCACTTTATCATTGAGATTGAGCTATCCCCCTAGATCCTAGATGCTCTGTCTTTTCTATTAAATGTCTTTTTGCTAGTAAAATTAGTAAATCAGCTAAGAGGCATAGATTTAAAAAAAAAACTTACATGAACTATACACATTGTCTAATCTGTAGTTCCCAAAGTAGGATCTATGGTAATCTTGTCATGTGTGAGACCCTAGGTTCAATTTCCAGAAAAGAGGGAGTTCAATACATGCAAACATAGATACATACATATATATGTATATACATACATATAGCCAGGAAATTCAGAAGCTCTTTCATGTCATCTCCTCTTACTTCACAGAAGAGTGACCCAGAGGAAGGCAACAGTTGACTAAAGGTTTCAAATGTAAGTGGAAAAAACTGGCTTCCAGGAAAGTCAGGGTAAACTGACCTCATAGAAGTCATTTTGCTTTTCTTAATTTTGTTTATTTTATCGTACATATATGTATATGGATGTTTTGGCTACATGTATGTAAGTACACCAGGTGTGCACATATCCACAGAGGCCAGAAGTCCTCAGATTGTCTAGGTCAGGAGTTACAGACTATTGTGGCCATCACGTGGGTTTTTGGAATCACAGACTTGTGAGCCACTGTGTGGATGCTGGGAATCACAGACTTGAGAGCCACAGTGTGGGTGCTGGGAATCACAAACTTGTGAGCCACCACGTGGTCCTTGGAATCCCAGATTATGAGCCACCATGTTGGTGCTGGGAATCAAATCCGGATCATTTGCAAGCACAAGTACCCTTTAACTACAGAGCTCATTGAGCTTATTTTATTCGATCTTACCATTAAGATGGAACTAAAAAGCTTTATCAAATTAAATCAGAGTATATTGATAAAGGGTGATACAGATTTGGCACAATTTTGGATTCATTAAGTATTAATTTTCACCCTTAATCAGACTGACCAGCATTCCATAGAAAGACATTGCCTCTCAAAGCCTAGAATGAGGGTGTTGTGCTAATTTGTGCAGCTTATGAAATTGTTTGTTATTTATTACATTAGCTGTTTTCCCTAGTCCTGTGAAAAAGCAACATAAGGAAATATTTTGTTTGGCTCAGAGTTTGAGAGTACAGACCACCACAGCGAGGAGAAGACATGGCATGACATCTGGAGCCTATCACATCTTCAGTTTGGAGACAAATGATGCTCAGTTCAAACAGCTTGCTCCTCTCCATGCCCCTGGGACGCTGCCATCTTCCTCCCATAACCTGATCTAGATAATCTGGATATGCCTTCCCACGCATGCCAGAGCCTTGTCCTGTGGTGATTCTAGATCCTGACCAGTTGGCAATCAACATTAATAATCACAGTGCCACACCAGAGGTAGGAGGACTACATTGGGATTGTCATTTAAGACAGTTTTTAAAACACACAGACGTTTGAATACGCAAGTGTCACAGATGACCGGTGACAGGGTCTTGGTAGTGGACTCCTTTGCTACCCTCCTCCCAAGTCAAAACTACTGGGTCAGGGCCAGTGCTGCTCGCCAAATTCCTTATGGTGGGAATTTCAGGACAATGACCAGGTTAGGAAGTGAAAATGGGAGAGCTTGGTGTGGTGGTGCATGCCTGTCAGCCCAACACTTGGAAGGTAAGGCCGAGAAAAGCAGAATTTCAAGCTCATCCTTGATGCCATAGTGAGCTCCAGGACAGTCCAGGCTACCTGAGAATCCGTCTCAAATAAACCTAAGAACAAACACACACAAAAAAAGAAGTCAATAAAGCCAGGGACTTGCCGTTTACTTAGACATGCAATTATTTAATGTAGGACTGTTAAGGTGGTGTGTCTCAGTGCCACCCACAGCCTGTCCTCTCACCAGTCACTGCTGAATACTGCCACAGACCATCGCATGTGTCTGCATGTCTCACCCAGCAAGCTCTCCCACTCCTTCTCAAAACCCTATGCAAACAATAATAAATTTTCACATTCATGTGTGCTCTAAATAGACACTGTACTACGGGAATGGATTTGCCTTCAACTTACTAACTCTTCTCATCCCTAAATCAAAACTAATTAGCTTTGTTTCTCAAATTGCTGACACTCAGGGTCTTCCCTATCGCAAACCTGTGTGTGATTAGTGATCTAATGGCTGGTGCTGAGCTTGGGCAAATATTTATAGAGTAATCATAGTGGATAGGGTTGAATAACCTCTTGGATTGAGTGTGAGCTTCTGCCAGGCAATGCTGCAAAATTGTGCTAATTTAATGGTACAGTCCATTGTTCCATCTGCTAATATGAACGCTACACACACCAGTACATAAAAAAAATTGGGAATAGCAGGGCACAGTGTGGCTCTTTTATTGGCACTCCTGGCACTAATGCACCAGAAGAATCCAAATGCCATTTTGTACATATAAATTACGTGATAGATAAGCAAAAGCTCATACATGGAGAAGATCAAATATATTCACAGAAGAACGAGCCGAAAGCAAGGAGTCGCTAGATAAACAGTTGTTAGGTTATTAGGAGATGGGCTGTGAGAGGAATGAGTTTGCTTTTATTTCCTTTCAGAAACGGTAAACAGATTTTAATTAGGCAAGTCAGTTTCACCGTTAAGGGAGGATTTTTTTTTTCTTTCTGTATCAAGCTGTGTTGATATTAACTTTGGCTTTTCAGGGATACACCAAACAAGTATGGCATATGTCATTAATTCTTTGGTTTAGTAGTGCTAGGGATAGAACCCAAAACCCTAAGCTGTCAGAAAGCACTCTGTCTGTGAACTACATACTTAGATTCCAAATAATTCTTAATATTTTGGCTTTAACCTGTAGCATGAAAGAGAACCAAACTTTGGAAAGAAAGAGATTAAAATGGTAGGGATTTGGGGTGGTGAGGGTGTTCGTTTGTTTTAAACAAATAATAAACAAGCTAGCCTGTCAGATCATCACAAGGTTAGGACAGGAAGCTGGAGAGTTTAAGGTCATGTGATTTTGTCACATGATCAGAGTGAGGAAGGCTAAACAGATGATGCAGTTAAGCAATGACCAAATTTAGATTTGAAATTACACCCCTTTCTATCATTTTAGAAGCAAAATATTGCAATATTGATACACAAGCAACTTTAAGAACATGGGAAAAAATTTTTAAAAAAAGAACATGGGCCATTTCCTAACACACATTCTTTGCTCATAATCTTATTTAACTTTCAATTTAATAAAGATGACCTATATTGTGTATGTAGATGAAAATCCTGAAGATTTTTCTTACCTTGATCAATTGTAACTAAACCATTTTTAAAAGTGGCTTAGCTGTCTTTTGTAGACATCCCAACCAGTTAGCTATATTTAGATGTGAGGAGGAGGCAGAATATTTTTTTTAATTCTATGTTTTTTTTTACAACTGACTTGACTGACAGCCCTTAAGTGCTATTTCTCTCAAAGCAAATATGATTCACAGCCCTTAGGTAGAGTGTGTGCACAAGCTAGAAATATTGATCTGTCCACATCCGAAAAACATTCAAACACAATAAAAAAGAATTTTTAACTTAATTCTGAATAATGCAATAGTTTTTTTTAAAGTCCTTTATGTGAACAGTACACACTTGCCAGTGGTAATATATCCATAATGTTTTATATTGTCAAGGATTTCATTTAAACTCAGAAAGCAGAAAGTGTCTTTCCAGGGTGAACTCACCCTCCTCAGTTCTGCCATGACAGTTCTCAGAACACAGGAGGCCTAAGAAACTATTTAAAGATATAAATAAATCTGCCTTATTTAAGCCACTGAATACAAGGAACCCATTCTGTAAATTACTCTAGTCATTAGCACAAAGTTTAGAAATGAAAGCAACCAGGAGGCAGTTGGTGAGATTTCTCTTGGGTGTTTACTAACATTAGAATGGAGAAATTAGTTTCATTGTGCCACATCAGCGTGGCCAGAGCACATGCAGAAGAGAGCTGAACACTCGGAGCTTGCAGCTCCCCATCCCACCCCACATGTGCAATGACCAGGAAGACCCTTTTTCGACTTGCCCCAAGCCAGCCTTCTTGCTACAATTATTTCTGGCTCCCACAGAAGGCCGCAGAAAACAATCAATATTGCTATGAGTTATAAAACACAAAAATATTCTCAAATTTGGCTCTGGTAGCTCTCAGTTTCCTCCAGAGGTGTCAGCATCTAGATTCTTCTTCCTTCTGGCGGTGGCTCAATGGCAAGCTGACCAACTATACTCCTAACACCACTTAAGAGCTTTCCCTGAAAAGTTAAGTTTTCAACAATTACTTTTGTTTCCATTGACTGAGAGTAGCCAATCCTTTCCTGGAGCAATGTGGAGATATATCTGCACCGTTATGTTACAAGGGAGATGACAGTTGATGAGACAGGAATGGGCAAAAGTTAGAGGAGAGTAGGTGTGGGAAAGACGCTGGCACATTCCTAGAGGGTCATTTTCCCATGGCTGCTCCCTACACCTGCATCCCAGACCTGCATCCCACTGCGTATCACCCAATCCTCCCCCATTATCTCTAGAGCTTCTTTGGCTTCTCCCATGCAGATTGAAGTGCGGGTTAAAGACATGACATCAATCCTCATCTGTAGCTAATACTTGCCCTGTACTCGAAAGCAGTCAGCACCAGTGTACATGTTTAAGAACTCCCATCTCTATTTAAGTCTCTTAGTTTGTCACCATGACACTTGATCCATGTACCAATTTCCCCCAAGGCTTGTTTCCTAATCCGTCTCATCTTTACTACTTAGGCTCACACGGTGTGCCATGCACTGTTCATTTCTCACCATAACTTGATGGAGGAGTTACTTTTATTGGTTAAATAAAGAAACTGCCTTAGCTCTTTAAGAAGACAGAAAATTAGGTAGGCGGAGTAAACAGAACAGAATGCTGGAAGAAAGAAGCCGAGTCAGTTGCCATGATTCTCCCACTCCAGACAGACGCAGGTTAAGATCTTCCCTGGTAAGCCACTCATGGGCTACACAGAATATTAGAAATGGGTTAGATCAATATGTAAGAGCTAGCCAATAAGAGGCTGGAACTAATGGGCCAGGCAGTGTTTAAAAGAATACAGTTTCCATGTAATTATTTCCGGTAAAGCCAGCCAGGTGGAGGGAAATAGCCCGCCGCTCATATTACTACAATAACTCATGTGTTAAAACTTAACCCTCAGTGTGATTGTATCTGGGATGGAGATATTAGGTCAAGGTGCAATTTGTGCCCACATAAGAAGATACATAGGACATGATTCCTCACTCCACCGTGTAAAGATCTAGCAAGAAAATATCTGTACACACATCAAGGGGAGGTACCTAGTCATAAACCCGATCAGCTAGTACCTTCCCCTTGGACTTCACACCCTTCATACAGGTCCAAAGTTCATGTTCTCCAGTCCACATTTGCTACTTGTATCACACCTACATATCTAGGTACTCGACATCAATTTTTGAACATATGACTATATTCCGCCTCTTTGGCTCCCTGGATATAACATTATCTTTAACCTTGGGTTACGTAGTACCTCTTCTCCCCTTTGAATACTCTGATCTCAGATTCCTTTTTCTATAGACATGCCTTTGATCTCCTAGTGCTGAAGCTGGATTATAATTCTATCTTAGAATTATTTCCAATGGCTTACTTACAAAATATTGGCACAATGTAGGACTATTGAGCATACCCTGTGGGAGGACAGTCCATTGATATCTCCTATTAGGCTGAGAATTATTATAAGTAGGCACTGTGAAGGCAAATTTTTCTCTATCCTTTTCTTGTAACGGTATAGTGAAAAAACAATCTTTCAAATCAATAACTATAAGAGGCCATCCCTTTGGTAATAGAGAAGGCAAAGGAATTCCAGATTGTAGTGGGCCCATAGGTTGAATTACCTTGTTGACAGCTCTTAAATCTGTCACCATTCTCCATTTACCAGATTTCTTTTTTACAACAAACACAGGAGAATTCCAAGGGCTGGTTGATTCTTCAATATGGTGAGCATCTAGTTGCTCTTGTACCAGCTGTTCCAATGCCTGCAATTTATCTTCAGCTAGAGGCCACTGTTTGATCCATATTGGCTTCTCAGTTAGCCATTTTAA